ACAGACAGACAGACAGACAGACAGACAGACAGACAGACAGACAGACAGACAGACAGACACACAGACACACAGACACACAGACACACAGACACACAGACACACAGACACACAGACACACACACATACATTCACAGACAGAGACACATTCATTTGGGATCATCTTGGCGAGTATTGAATCTTCGTGGTACCGGAAAGCCCCATGCGGATGCTTCACAGGTCAAGCTTCTCGTCGAATTCTTGCGATTGGAGGTGGGTGTTGTGCTGAGCTCAGGGGAGCTTTGTTGCGAGGTGCGTGACCTGCAGTCAGCCTGTACTTGGTATAAATGCAGGTCTAAGCATAGGTTGCTGGCTTTGATTCGCACCACCTAGTGAGAACTTATGCCATGCCTACATCCTTCCAATTCCCGTTTTCTAGGGCTAGAATGACTTCGAGTTGCACCCTGCGTGCTTTCTGATATTGTCGTTTGAAGCAGTGAACTCACCGTCTGAAATAGGACAGCCGGCACGGGCGCTGTAGATGGAATGTGCTGTGCTGTTCGTCGAGAGCTTCACACAGTTGCAGTGCTGCGAACGCCTTAATCAATCCTTCGAGGCGGGTCAGTTGCTTGCAGCTGAGCTGCTGAAGCAGGAAGAAGACACCGAGGATGCTGCACGATTTTGAGTTGGGATGTTCGGTCAGGTTGCAAGATCTTGTATTGTTATTTCATACGACGGGTAAAACTCGCTTGGTGTCGCATGTTTCACTTCAGTTAGGCGGTTGATGAGGTCCTCCAGCTCATCATCGGATCGGAGTTCAGAATGGGATCTAGGGCCAGGCTTTGTGCTTGTCAGTCACTGTTGACTGTACAGAGCCAAAACACTTGCTGGGCTGTCTGGAGTTTCAGTTTCTGTGACAGATTCCTGTGGGAATCTCCGACGGAGGTTTCGTGATTCGAGCGATCACCCTTTGTCTTAGTCTTGCATGCAATGATTTGAGAGCAGGTCAACTGAGCAAGCCACCAAGGGCGATGTACCAACCGCAGTCATCCCTGAAAGGAACACAGTCTGGCACAGCAAACTCCAAAACGAAGGATGGCCGAGTGAACTCTTACGTGTGTGCCTAGCGAACAAGGCTGAGAAGCAAAGTGGTTGAGCAACGCCAGGGGAAGGCTTCAACTCTAAGCTCTAACAGCCCGACAACTCCAAGCCCTGCACTACACCCAGCGGCGCTTGAAAGACGCAGTTCTGAAGAGTGTGCAGCCGAAAATCAAAGATGGGGGCGGCAAACAGAGTAAGTATACGCCAAGACCAGACGACACCACTAACCAGACCAACACGATGCGGTTCATGTTAGCCATCATTAGCGGGAGCTTTTTGAGCAGCTTGCATGACCTCTACTTGCTTTGTCCCCGACGCAACGGGCAAGACCATGGCCAGGCAAAGACAGAGGCCGGCACAAAGGATGTACTCTCCCCAATCTCTCGTGTCGCATCTCTCGCAGCGCCAGAAGCTTCGTCCCACTGAGGTTTGGGCGCCCTCTCGCCTGCTCTTCCGAAAAGCCGTAGCCAAGCTTGAAGGCCTTGGGACGTTGCAATCGCATCAGCTTTAGAAGCTTGTCGCCACAGTGCAGGTAACTTGGCAAACATGGTGGGGAGCTTGTTGGACGGCGCACCACCGCTATTTGCATGTGTCTCCTTGGTGATTGCAGGCAAGCTACCTGGCAGCGAGCGCGCAGCTGCTGCATCAAGCGCAAGAGAAGTGGAGCACCTCGAGTGGGCTATCCGCCAAGCACTTAGAGATCCTTACAGAAGCAGAGAATGAAACAAAGCTGCGTGGATTCTAGTCACCTGTGCTGCAGATCTGAGGAGTGGGCTGAGTCCTTGCGAGCAGCAGCTGCCACGAGTCGCCCAGGCGTTGCCTCGTCCTCAGCTGACAGCGCGCGCTGAGTCTTTGCAGCTCGACAGTCGACGACCGCCAGGGTCATAGCTCGAGAGGCCAGGAAGAGGCCCTGCAAAACGAAGCTTCCGGGCTGTTGCAGTCGAGGCTGGCCTCCAAAACGGTCCGTGTCAGGTGGATGCTCCGGCCACGACCATTTGGGAGGTTTGGTGGACGGAGGACTCGCCCATCCAAAGCATCCGACCAGTTTCGGGCAGATGAACTGAAGGAGCTTCGGGCTGGAGGAAAAAGCTGGCACCGAGCTCAGCTCAGCAAGCGAGGAGAACGGACGGAACTCGCCTAATAAGCTCGCCCCAGGTCGGACCTTGCACCTGTGATAGCTGAATGCAGCATTGGCGCGGTCATCGCAAAGGCTGTGGAGGCGCACGCTGCTAATGTGTGACTTTCGTGAGCACTTTGCATGTTGCACAATTTCCGTTTGCATTAGGGGTGCCAGAGTGGGCCTGGGTTTGCCGAAGACCAATACTGCGATTTAACACGAGCCAAGGGGCACACCCGAACGCCAAGCATAACAGCACTGAGCTCTCGAACGTCTTTCGGAAAAGAAGTCTGGAGTGATTACCAGCCCCAGAGCAACAAACAACCCAACTTTGTTCTTGAACGCAAATCCTCAGCCAGAACCGGTTGTGTCTGGATGTCTCGCAAGCCACGTTTACGCTTCAGGCGATGTGGCAGCAGTACCAGAAGGCCGGGATCACTTTCGTCACGATCAAAGCAAACACCGTTTACTTCACCCGTCCACCGTCCTTCAGCCCCTCCTGAATAGAAGGCGTGTCGCTGGAGAGTGTGGGCCGGCAGGATGAGGGGCAGAGCGTTTCATGGCCAGAGGTGGCATCCGGGAAGGAGCTACATGCTCCTCTTCTGGCGATGGTGCTCCCCTCGGGCCTTAGGCTTTGCGCAAGACGAAGAAAAGCTCACCACTGGCTGTCCGTTTTGCCTGTGTCAGATGGGTCTCTCTCTCAGGCCAAGTCGCCTGCTGCCGTTTCAGATGTCGATGCTGTGTTGAAAGTCTTGGAGGCACGAAGATAAACGGTGGAGGTCAGCCATTCTGTCATACAAGACTCGGATCAATTCGATGCTTAACCGAGCCTTTTCCGGCGGAACCGTGTAACCCTCTGCCAGACCTTTTCGGCGGCGGTGCCCTCCTTGAGCGATGAAGCAGTCAAGGCGCCTGCTCCAAGCGTAACTTGCTAATGTCGAGGTTGCTCAGTTTGCTTGGGCGTCGGTTTTGAATGAATCTGTGAGGATGTACCCACGCAAGGATCAGGGCCTGCAATGCTGAAGTGCCGGGCATGTTCAAGTTTTGAGAGGCTCTATCGGTCGATTAAGTGCATCAGCTTCCAGGTCACTGCTCGGACGTGGTGTGCGGAAGGTCGTTGCATCTTCCGTGCCAGGCAGCTGTCGAAGAACTGCGGCAACGGTCAGCTGGGACCTTGTTGCGTCAGCCGTGCATGCAATATCAAATCAGGATTCTTTGCGCAAGATCTGCGCTGGGTATGTGAGAACCCGAAGATCCTACGCACCCGTTTTGCAGAGTTGGTGTAAGAAGTAAGTAAAGCGCACACATTCAGTAGGCGACGACATGGGCTTTGCAGAACATTGTACGCGCGCGGGTGAGTGTGGCAAGTTTTCGTGCAGCTATCCTACACCGGCCTACACCGACCGCTCCTGGGAAGGCTACGTCACTGCTGCGAACCGAGCGCGACAAAAAAGTCCCGTGTCGAACCGAAGAGGGTGACCGATGTGAGGCGACTCCTTCGGCACCTCAGAATTTACGGATGTACATGCAAACCTGTCGGGCGAGTACTGGTGTTTATCTCCCACTGGTGCAGTGAGCATGCAAACCCCAGCCAGATGCAGCTTGATTGGATGACCTTTTTTGCCATCATGAATTTGCTTTACGTGGCTCTGATCAAGCTGAAAGGTGGATGTCTCTTGTGACCGCACCTTGATGCAACCTTGCAATCATACCTCTTCATGGGCTAGTTTGGCTTCATGGCTCCTGTTTCTTGGGGCGCGCTTGCTTTTTCACGTCTCGTCATGAAGCCCTTACGCCTTCCCAGGTCCCTGACTCCCTAGAGACAAGAACAGAACAGAATAACGGGTGACCTGATGCTCTAACCTCACACAGTTCGTGTACAGCCAAACCCATCCACCAAGAATGATGGATGGGGCAGCGCACTGCCAGGGTTGGGGGACTGCCATCAACCCAAGCCCCACGCACCAAGCAAACTGTGAGGATGGCACATATAGCGGTGTACACGACATGAATGTTGCTCTGCAAACAGAAGCCAGTTGTCTGGAGCGGCCGATGCTCATCAAACAGACCTCCCTCACTCTGCATTCTCAACATAGGCGTGCTCACTCACGCCAGGGTGAAGCCCCCCACACCTGCAGAAAGAAAGCAAGGAAGCGAAAGGGAGGCAGCTCAGCTCACCCCAAAGAGAAAGCCCACCCCCCCTCTGTAGGCCTGGAAAAGAAAGTAAAGCACCAAAGAGAGAGAGAGGGAGACGCGGGGGCGCACAAGCGTGCGGAGGTGAGGCAATTCCCCAGCGCAGCCCTGGCGAAAGAAAAGGAGAGGAGTACAAGGGAAAGGCTGCATTTCGAATGAATGTGACGCCGAATCCCGAGTCCAGGCCTTGAAGTATCCCGGCAACCTACGGCTCGGCCTGATTGCATCCAGCGGGGCTTTCGCAGCGCCGGAGGCCTGCTTCGATCTCGACCAAGCACTGTCTAAAGATGAGCAAATTGCAATTCCAACCGCCTCCCAAAGTCTGGCCTTGCGACCGTGCGGGTTAGGAAGAGGATTTGTAGAACGTTGCTGTCTCGGATCTTACCCTAAATTTTCAGGATATTCGTGGGCCTGGAACTCTCGAATCTGATTTTGCAGCCTCTGAGTTTGTGTCGCAGGCTCGATCCGAGGAAGCTGCGATGGCCTGTGCTTCACTGCTGAAAGTGGCGTGCGGCGCATCGGCTCAGGATTCTGCCCGGGCCTGAGAGCAGTCTGTGCCTTTGTCTCGCTGGCATTGCTGATGGTGCTGAGGAGCAAGGATGGTAACGATGGTGAAGGTGATGATGATGATAATGATGATGATGATGATGATGATGATGCTGATGGCGATGACGATGATGCGGTTGCTGATGATGATACTGACGATGATGATGATGATTGTGACGACGACGATAACGATCATAAAGACGACGATGATGGTTGTGAAGCGGAAGCTGCTGCTGCTGCTGCTGCTGCTGCTGCTGCTGCTGCTGACGATGCTGTTGTTGTTGATGATGATACAGTACCGATGAAGCTGACGATTGTTGTTCCTGTTTCCGTTGCCGTTTGCGCTGCTCCTGCTGCTGCTGCTGCTGCTGCTGCTGCTGCTGCTGCTGCTGCTGCTGCTGCTTCTGCTTCTGCTGGTGTTGGTGTGGTGGCGGTGGTGGTGTTACCTTGCTGTTGCTGTTGCTGCTGCTTCTGCTGCTGCTGCTGGTTGTTGTTGTTGTTGTTGTTGTTGTTGCGGTCGCGGCTGTGGTTGTGGATGTTGTTGTTCATGTTGTTCTTAGTTTAGTCTAACTGCTTGTATTGTTAATTGTTAATGTTTTTGTTGCCGATGAGCACGGTGTTGACGATGGCGATGGCTTGAGGAACAAAGCAGAATTCGTCACATACTTTTCTGCATCTCTGTTGCTTGGCCCTGCTGTTGCTCAAGGCTGTTCAATCTGCAGGGGTGGCCCATTACAAGGCTGATTGAAATTCCTCAGCGATGTTCGCGCTTGTTGGGCCTGCATGCCCCACAGCTGATCCAAGCTTGGCTAGTTGTGTAGGCGGAGCATGCCAACCCGGCAAGTACAAGCATTGACTCGGTGACAGACATCTTCACAGTAGACCCTTTGTTGAGCAACGGCCAGCAGAAGATGGGGGTGGCTGCCAGCCGCGACACCGCATGTCTCTCTGGCATGATGCGCGGCTCTCGCCCGCTGCCTTCCAGTGCCGAGCCCATCACTGTCACGATCTGCGGCGCAGCCGGCCAGATTGGTTACTCGCTGCTGCCAATGATCGCCTCAGGCGGTATGTTCGGGCCTTCTCAGAGGGTGAACCTGCAATGCGTGGACTTGAACCTGCCGGAGGTGATGGACGGCATGCACGGCATGGAAATGGAGCTTCAAGACGGCAACTTCCCGCTCTTGCACAAGTCTCTCTTTACAACGGATGACGCTTTAGCTTTCAAAGGAGCTGACTACGCCATCCTTCTTGGGGCTTTCCCTAGACAAGATGGGTTAGAGAAGCGAGACATCATGGAGAAGAATGTCATGATTTTCCGAACGATGGGCCGAGCCCTTGAGAGACACGTGAAGTATGACTGCAAGATCTTGGTGGTGGGCAACCCTGCACACACAAATGCCTGGATTTGTGCCCACTACGCACCATCTTTACCCAAGCAGAATTTCTTTGCCCTGACGCGCTTAGACCAGAACCGTGCAGCCGGGCAGATTGCACATCACTTTGGCATAGCGGTGAATGAAGTCAAGAATGTTGTGGCTTGGGGCTCGCATGCCAAGTTTCCAGACATCGAGCATGCCATCATCAAAGGAAGACCTGTGACGCAAGCGCTTGCAACAACAGAAGAGCGAAAGCACATGAACGATCTTTTTTACAAGGAGATGCAGCAGCGTGGCGCCAGCATCGTGAAGGCCCGGAAGGCTAGCAGTGCGATGTCCACTGCTCGCGCCATCGTCGATCACATTCATGACTTGCACAGTGGGACACTGGCCGGTGAGTTCGTTTCCATGGGGGTCTGGTCCGATCACGGCGCTTATTCGATTGCAGACTCGCTCGTCTTCTCCGTGCCAGTGATTTGCTATGGGGGTGGTCGCTATCGCGTGCACCCGGGGCTCGTGCTGAGCCCTGCTAGCCGCGAAAAGCTGAAGCAAGTCGAAGCTGAGATCATTGCAGAGCGTGACTTTGCAAAGCAATTCATCAAGACTGGCTCAGGCCCTGCCCAGTCTGCCCCCGCGCCCTCTGCTTCCTGAGCCGAGGCACTTGATTAATGCAGCACAGGATCGCTTCGCTCCGAACGGTGCCTGCGATACTGCGAGAGCACCCGTTACAGGGCTGTCCAGCGGGGAAAAGTCAACACGAGAGTTGGCAGGGAAGGAGGTGAAGGTGGTTCAAGTCTCTGCTCTTCGGTCAGAATCGTTCCCACGAGGCTTGCTTGCTGCAGGCTGCTGGAGCTGTGTGGGCACTCAGCATCGATCAGTCTTAGCTCAAGCCGGCAGCAGCCCAACAAATCTGAGCTCGCGGCCTGTTCTCACACTTCGACAGTTTCGGGCGGTCCAGGCTGTGACGGAGCAGCTAGTCAGAACTCTGGGGCTGGACTCCCAGATCCTTGTGCTTCAAAACTTCCTTCAGGCTCCTTCTTGAGGTACGCGTAGTGACCTGTAGAGCCGAGTATGAAGTGCCGTCTGCTTCGACCGAGTGGAGGCTCGGATACCTCTCAGACATCTTTAGACCTGCCATGCACGTGCTTGAGATTCCGTTGCATACATGTTGTTTTCGGATTCGATTCCAATTCCAATGTGCCTTGTATGGATTTGAGCAAGATTTGTCAGTTGCAACTTACCGGTTAGTTGAATCAGAGACAGCGTTGACACGGTCTTTCTTCAGGAGTTCGGGAGACCTCCGCCCTGCAGCTGAGGCCCGACGACAGTCCGGCACAACTCGTAGCCGCTTCCCTCGCCACAGCCATGGCTGACGACTCAAGCAAGGCATGGAAATTTCCTTTGCAGGGTTTCGTCATACGGCTTCGCGGTGAGACATCAAAGCATGAAGCACCAAGGTGCGACATTTGCTGTCGACACGGAGTGTCGGAGCAATGTTAAGCACATGACGGTCTTGATTCCGAGGCCCGTGGTGGCGAAAATGAGTTTCGCGACGCCTGCCACGAGGCTTCACGGCGGTCATGACCTGCAGCCTCGTAGCTCGTTGAAATATTCCGAAGTTCAGGTACGCAAAGTGGCTGGTGGGCTTTGGGATGCAGTAGTCTCAGTGCAGCTCGTTTCAAACGCCCGTTCAGCAACAACAGAGCCTGTCCAAGAATGAGGTTCCTCGCCAAAGAACGGCCCTTCTAGCTGCAGTCCTTGATGCGGAGTTGCGGATAATGAGCGACAAGGAGGCGCGTGTGAAGAAACTGCCAGTCCTTGAAAGAGCCTGGGCCTTCAGCCGTCCATACGGTGGGCGTTGGGGTTCGAAAGGATCACGTATTTGCAATTTCACATGGGGACGAAGCCGACGAAGCAACCATGGTTCGCATGATGCTTCCAACTGTACAAGTGTCCAGGCCCAGCCCCACCCTGACTTGGCCGACTTGGCTTGCTCCGTGTAGGGTGTTTTCTCGTCTGAAAGGCGAAGCGCTTGAACACCTCGTTCCAAGAGCTCTTGTCCTCCTTGGACGTCTCTGTGCCAGAGACCTTGGAATGGTGGCACCGTGCTCAGCCTTACCCTCCAAGCTCCTGCACGGTCTGGGCTTTTGCAGTCATCATGTCATCATCCTTTTCGTGCGCTTTTCCTTACAAGGTTTCCCGCGTTTCCCGCGCCCTTGACCCTCGTCAGGTTTCCTCTGTGGTGGGCGGGGCGCCAGGTGTTTGTTCTATTCTAGTTCCCGTCTTTCGTCCTCAAAGTTCTCCTCCTGACACCCTGAATCCTTTGCGCACAGATCCGCTCGTGCGCAATGTCGCGCAAAAATCCCCGGTCCGGTGCACGAATCTTCTGTGCCTTCTGGGAGACGTCGCGAATCCTAAAGGCCAAATCCATGGCCTCTTCATGCGAAGTCTTCAGTGTGCGAATGCAACTTATCGAGAAATGTTATATCACTAGGGTCGGAGACTTCTTGCGAGGCTCCGAGCTTTGCGATAACATCACTGTGAGATTTACGACGTGGCATTTTACGGTTTTAGAGTGGCTTTATGCGGGGCTTGAGAGTCATGTCGAGGGCAGTCGTTGAAACTTCACAGGGTTGAGAGTCGGAGCGTATCGGTTTCCCATTCACCTCAAGTACTGTGCTTATCGCAGAAACTCACCTCTTCCTTGAGCAATGGATCGTGCAAGCTGCATGATCCTTCTCGGAGCATGCAACCGCGAACGTGATTCGTGTCAGTGCCACTTGCGAGCTTCACGTTTGTGGCAATCCATCATTCCATGTCCCCGTCCCTGCAGTCGTCAGCTCAGGTCATGTCAGTCCATCTTGAATCTTACGGATTTTGGAGACCTCTGCGCACTTCATTTGTTCGGTTCTTCAGGCTACGCTACCTCCGTTTTGCCCAACGTGCAGGGGCTTTGGGATGCTCTGGAGCTGGGGACCAAGGCATTGTGAGATTTCCAAAAAATTGACTTCATTGTGTTCTGATGTCAGCACTCAACCTTTGGTAGCTGCTGATGTGTACTCTACCTCTCTATGTCTCCGAGGTGCCAAGTGTGTCCGAAGTCCACTGGCGGGCTCTGCGGGTGCTGCCGGACACCTGACTCGAAGATGCTTTTGCCTGCTGGTTTTGCTCTGGCGGCTCTAAACTCCTGGTTTAGCCAGCCGCGTCCTGTCAGCTTGCAGGATCAAGCGCTGTACCGCGAGAAGTCGCAGCAAGTCATGCAGAGCCGGGGTCCGAGTTTCCCGTAGCGCACTCGGCAATGGGGCATCATCGGGCAATTTCGGAGGCCAAGCATGAGGACCTGCGCTGACAAAACGTCCAGTTTCACCTGCTGAAGGGCGCGCCAACGGCAGAAAAAACCCACGGTGTCACGGTCCAGTCTGCAGTCCAGCACCGTTGTATTCAATGTGAGCATCGGCAATCCTGTCTTTGGCAGGCGCCTGATGCTGAAGCCAGTGGAAGCCCGAAGGAGACGCAGGAAGGGGCCGAAGCGGCCCCAAAGGCTCCGAGCGAGGTCGAGGTCGTGGCGACCGAGACGGAGCCGCCGGCGGAGCCAGAGAAGTCGCAAGCCGACCTGGCGGGCACAGGGCCGGGCGAGTGCCCAGCGCCCGACGCATCACCAGCCGAGGCGAGCCCCGAGGCGAGCCAGGAGGCGAGCCCTGAGGCGAGCCCCGAGGCGAGCGCAGACGCGGACACGACCGACGGTGCCAAAGCCGAAGCCGAAGCCGCCGAAGCCGAGAAGAGCCCTTCAGTTCAACCTGGACACGAGTCGAAGGATGGAACGCTCCTGGCCGAGCACGAACACGAGCATGAAGAGACGGATGGCGAGGAGCATGAGTTCGGAGAGACCGCCCATCTCGTGGAGTTGGAGGCTGAAGAGGACCCTGAGTTCGAGCAGGAGGAGCCTGGCATTAATGCTCTAGCCTTCTGAATCTTATTGCCTCGTTTCTTGAGGATGTCAATGAAGAAGATGCAGAGGAGGAAGAGGAAGAAGTGTACAAGGAGGAGGCATTCGGTAAGTCGACATGCACCGCATCATGCACTTCTTAATCCAGCTTTGGACCTGAAGGAGCTGGGCCCGCCGATCAACATCTACAAGCCCGTGACACCTTACGAGGCATGAGTAGCTTCAGTTATAGAGAGCCAATCAATCAGCACATTCAGCCCCGCTCCGAAGCACTCTCCGTGAGTGAGCGGCACAAGTGAGCAATTCAGTCGTATTGAGGTCTGCCGCTGACACGCCTAAGATTTGCCTGAGGTCAACTGGGAAATCACGGAAGTTCCGGCCGAAGGATCTGGAGGCCAGGCGGTTGTGGCACATCTGCTCAGGGCCTGTGGCATCCTGTGGCTGCGCTGCGAGGTGGAACCCAAGGGTCGAGGAAGGTCGGAAAAGTCGTGAAGCCGAAGGCAAGCTGTCTCGTGTCTCCAAACCCAATTTGGGCTTGAAGGAGGCCCTGGCTCTAAACACAATATATGCTTTGGCGTTGACTGCAGGTAAGCAAAGGACGTTGCCAATGGCGCAATCCTGTTGGGTCGGGGACTCTGAGAACTGCGCTGAACTGTGACTCCGTCGGGATCCGTCGGGCTGAGCCGGTCGGGCCGTGTCGGACTGTCGCGGCTTTGGCTGCGATTGGATCCGAGGTTCATGTGCTCGACGGATACCTCGGAGGCTGCCGAGCATGAGCCGTGGCCGAATGACATGTATGCTGCAGGTGCCTGAGTGCTTTCACCGTGCAGGGGGTGTGTTTAAGGGGGCACGCGCTTGTCAGGTCTCCAGCACTCTGCAGCATGAAGCGTGTCTAAGGTCTACACGTCGACCCAGGGAGGAGACAGCAAGGCGAGGCAGTACAAAACCTCCACTGTAACTGTGAAATTTGTGAAATGCACTCTCAGAGCGATCTTTTCACCTCAACCCGGCATCATCAAGCACCCCCCCGTTGGTTGTGGAGCTGTTGAGGGTTTCGTTGGGTGGAGGCGGGCAAGGGTCTCATGACTCAGAAATATTCGACGAGGAGAAAGAGCAGTGACGAAGCCCATACACGTGATCTTAGTCGCCGGACAGTCGTGTTGTGGTGTCAGCCAACCGTTTGTGGCGTAGCTGTTGCGTGATTGAAGCCGGGACTGCTCCATGTTTCCGGCATAGCGCTATTTCCGCTCTTGCAAAGCGTGGGTTCGACAGCAGGAGTTGGCAAGTCAACCCTTGATTCCTGACCCCTTCCTGCACATGTGTTACCTCGATTTGCTCGCCACTCCACGTTCCATGCTGCCGAACCACTCCATACTCCAAAGACAGCCCGACCTCAGCAACAGCTTGCCACCACATCCACTCCTTCCCATCCGTCGCAAATTAAGCCGGGAGGACATGTCGTGGGTCGAGGGCGTCACGCTGCTGAGCTCCGAGGGGCACAACATCATGGCACTCATCTCAGGGTTTGGGTCGACAGGTCACTTGTCGATTGTTGAGTGTGGGGGCATTTGCATTGCATGCCTGGTGCTCTGAGGCCTTTATCTTGCTCATGGCCTTTCTCCGAGATCACCAGGAGCCGCTCCAACTCTGCTCTTGCAGTGTCATAGTCTGTCTTGCAGATTCTTGCAGTCTTACAGAGCAGTTGCATGAAGTAGTGACCCTAGTTGATATTCTTCGAAAGGAAGCTTCCAGAGAATACCTTCACTTGCACCGGAATGGAGTAGGCGGCTTGGGAGAGGGCATAATGCCAAGAGGAGCAGAAAACGAGACTGATGGTCGACCGACCCCACTGCCCTTCAAAGTTTCGCAGTGCAGGAGCTCTACGTAGATGTGGACCTCATGGACGGTCGCATCTACTCTATGAAGGGTCCCGGTGGGCTGGAGTCTCTTGGCAGCAAACAACCTGCAGCAGGCCGCTTGAGATTCCGGCCATGAAAGCCAGTTTCGTGCATCTTTTGTGAAGCTCTCTCTCGATGCATTTCGCTTCCGCTCCATGAGTTTTCCACCAGGCGACGATATGGGGTGCGGCGTTTCAGGTCAAGGTCTCCGAAATTTTGTCTGGGTGGGGCACGACAGTGCGGGCCCGGCCCTCCGAGTCTTCCATCGGGCGGGTCGCGTTGCGCGTGCGGCGGGGCCTCGTGAATGGTCGGGGAGTTGTGTGCTGCTAGTGCTGGAGAGCCATCCTCCCATCCATGGAGGAAGAAGGTGAATGTGCTTGTGCCTTTGTCCATCACTCCCGCCTGTCAACTTGGACTTCCGTGACGGTGATCTGGAAGCCGGCATGCAAGGACACAGAGAAAAGCCACCCTTCTCTACTCTGTTTCCACTCGAGGCTCCCTCTTTCGGGTCGGGGCTTGTTCTCGATTGCACACTCTGAGGCTGACGCCTGCGGAGGATCAAGTTCTTCTGTGCGAGGCACGTTTCCCTCTGCCCAACAGGCAGCTGTCCTAAGCGGATGTGATGACCTTTACACCCTGCTGTCACATTTTGTGGGCATGATTCCTTCAACCCCCACCTGTGCGAGGATATAGAGGTCATCAATGATGTGCGGAAGGCTTTGTCAGAGGCTCGACAATGCATTTCCGGAATGCATACAATTGCATGCATTGCTGCAAGTAGCTAATATCTTCTGACCCATGACAACCTGGTGACGGCAGCACCACACAGCGCAAAGATGGGCAAAGCAAGAGAGTCCGCTTGCAACAGGCTTTCTACAGCAAAGCTTCGCCAAAGATTACCACCGTGGAACAGGAGGACTTAAGTGACAGATGTATGAATTAGTATGAATGAGTAGTGTATGGCTTTGCCACTAAAGTCATACTGAGAATATATTCTGAATTACAGCGGTCTTTTGCAAAAGGACTTCTCTGCAAGCGCTATAACAGCTTGCAGAAGGGGATGCGACGCATTCCTAGCAGGGTTGAAAGCACATCTGAGAGAGCTGTTTGGCAAGCACTGCTCGCGAGGATGGGATCGACTTCTCCGGGACACGAGGAGCTGCACCCACGGAACACATTTTCTGTGTACTGAGCATGGGTCCAATACCGGTGCGGAGAGAGGCAGACGGGACGATGAGCCCGTACCGCAGGTGGCTGCAGAGTAGTGGCCCGAGTATGCAACGTTGTAGTGACAGCTTTTCTTTAGCCATGCATGCCTTGTCTCCTTGAGCCGTTTCGAGTCGAGGGTAACAAATGACCATCGAAACAATCACGAGCTACCGAGATGGCTGTGTGCTGTTGAGCAAGGCCTCGAGTTTCAGAAGCTTTGGCCCGAGCCTTACAACATGCAGGGACCCGGCAGCGGCACTGTGCAACTGTTGAGAGCCTATATAGAGTCTGAACTTGTGCAGCGTAGTGGCGAATTCGTGCAAGTCAGTGCAACCCTTATCGAAGATCACGTCAGCTGCCCATCCCATCTACAAGACATGAGGACCGTCTTTTCGCAGTGCTGCGCGAGTGCTCCACACGCATGGAGAGCATCGACGAGGCGGCTTCGATCATGTGGCTTTGCCGACGGCTAGACCGGAAAACGCCCCACGTTTGCACTGTCTTGCTGTGGGCTTTGTCGAGCAATTGCAACGTGTCACTTTGTGCAGTGGAAGCTTGTGCCAGAGCAGAAGTACGGACCAATCCGGAAGCTGCTCCGTCGCGCAGGAGACATGGAACCAGCGCATCCGCCTGTCCAAGCCGACTCGGCAGATGATTCCTTTGCACCAACAGAGTAGCAGGAAGGCCAGGACAGTTTCGTTGGGTTACTTCAACGGTATCTGTTGGAAATTCGCGGCATGGTGAATAAATAGTGCATAGAACCCTGACAGAAGTGAAGTGTTGAAAGCACAAGCTCTCGAAGCCGCGCTGCAATTTGAACATGCTTCTGCAGTGCACGGAACTCGGTCCTGCATGTCCTGCATGCTGATTCTCTTCAACAAGTCTTTCCACTTCTACATGCGCGGTCGCAATTCGCGACTATACAGCAATATGAGAGTCTGTTCCTTTGTTCCATGTTCACGTTGACAGCAAGGAACCACCTGGACCATGTGTGTTAAGCGGTAAGATGGAAGAGGAGTGAACATTCGGAGCAGCACCCGTGCAGGCTGGCTCAGGCTCGTCGGACGCGCTCTTCACCCTCTTCGAGCCTTTGACAGATCTAGCCCAGGCAGCGGGCCAAATGGGCCGCGAGACGGAGTTAAGAAAGACGGCACAGGGGCCACTGTGCCCCCAGGAACGAAGTCACCTCGAAGTCGTTCCGGCTGAGCAGCGCTTACTTACCATTCTCGAGCCTAAGATTGCAAGTCTTGTCAAACAGCTTGATATCTTCGTGAGATTGTTCTAGATTGCAGGGTGGAGAAGTCGTCGCATTTGTTACGGCTGTTACGGCGTGAGACTGGATGGACGCTGGGCCCGATCAGTCTCGTGCATGGAGGTGGGTCCCCCAAACCGCAAAAGTCTCCTCTGCTTCCATCCAGCTCCTTATCCAAAGAAAGTCGGGACTGTACCGTGCACAGCCCACAGCTCAAAGAGTCCGTTTCTGCGGGTGCACTGAAGACGCTGCGGTGCCAGGCCCGGGCTGCTGCGGAGCGCCAGGAGCAGGAGGAGGCCTCAACGGCCATCTGCGGGAATCCGGTTTCCATATTTCTAGCCCCTAATCCTCTTCGGGCCTTGCCTCGACTTCTCGGAACAGATGTTGATGTTGGTAGGGATAGGAGGATAGGCTGGGGCCTTGGATGCCTCCGAGCTCATAAAGTCTTCTTCCAGGCAAAAGGAAGGATCATAAACACCGAAGAGAGCTCAAGAACAGAGAAGAGACACGGAATGACCAGAATACAACCCTGAGAGTGTACTAATCAACCCTGCCTGGCTCAGACAATTCTAGATCGTGGTCGTGTTGCAACGTCGCTGCCAGCGTCAGCTTTCTCGCTCCTTTTTGGGGCATTGCCCGGCCGGTACCTTAGGCCGAGCGTCGGCGGAAGGCCGAGGAAGAGAAGCGGAGGAGCGCGGCCCTCAGTCGCCCTGTTGTGATCCAAGAGCTTGGCAAGGTTTTCAAGCTTCCGGGGCCTGCTGCAATTGTGTAGAAGTCTGTGTGTCGTGCCAAGGAAAAGAGATGGAGCGGCAGGCCAAAGAAGAGGCGAGAAGACAGAAACAGCAGGAGCAGCAAAGAGCCAGAGAAGAGGCGAAGCGAGCCAAGGGTAAAGGCCTGGTGGGCCCGGAAGAGCACGAGGGCAGTGGATCTTTCTAAGATTGTCGATGTTGTTTCCATGCCCGCTCAATGTCAATGTTGAGGCAAGGGCAAGGATGAAGCCAAGGGAAAGGGCAAGAAAGACAGGAAGCAGCAGAACTCCTACGGCCAGCAGTATCAGCAATACCAGCCGCAACAGCAGCCGCAGCAGCCGCAGCAGCAGCAGCAGCAGAATTCCAAGAAAGGCCGCAGAGAGAGAGGCCGGGGCGAAGCCAAAGCCGCGGCTTTGTTTGTCGCTCTGAATCTGGGAAGGCAGTGCCCAGTCGAGCGCCGCATCGAGCAGTGATGCACAGGCGCTGCAGCAGGTGCGGACTCTCTGCTTTGCACCCCTCAAGGTTCACGTCTCTAGAACAACCTCTTGTTTTGTGCGCTCGACCGGCCCGATCCCCTCCCAAAGAATCAGCCTGTGTTGAGCTTGTGCCCTGTGGCGGATCTTCTTGTCAGGTCTACACAATGCCGGACTTGCCAGCAGATTGGGTTGCGGTACCCGACCAGCAGCTCCTGCTGCACAAGGCACAAGTATCACACCTAAGAGTCTGCCACGCCAACTTTCACTGAGACATACTGAGACTGAATGTATCGGGACTGCTGAGCAAGGAGCATCACTTTGCGCCAGTCTGTGCGTATCGAACACTTGGCGCCACGGTGACCGCCCGGTGATGCTGATGGCGATGACGACAACGATGACGATGATGATGATGGTGATGGTGATGATGATGATGATGCTGGTGATGGTCAGGGTGATGGTGGTGATGGTCAGGGTGATGGTGGTGATGATGATGACGATGGTGATGATGATGCGTGATGGAGGATGGGTGATTGTCTGTGTTGTTGATGATGATGGTGACGATGATGACAATGACTACGAGCAGGATGACCGCAATGTTAATGTAGTTTCGGATGACGTTGATTTTGGAGGGGCCGGTCGGTCGATCGAAGTTCTGTTATTCTTACAGTGAAACCGGGTGGTTCCTGGATGTGTGCAAGGGTGATCAAGGGTGGCGACGACTTTCTGGATGCCATCATGTCCGTCCACTATCCCACCCCAGCCGATCCGGCCGTAGGTTGTTGTTGCTGTCCTTGAGATGCGTTCTGGTGAACATGCCAGTGACACGCAGCCGAGGCAAACTGGAAGGCCGAGCAACTGACGGGGTTCGGGGAGTACTGCTTGTGACATGCTCGACGTCTGGACTGAGGCCGTACTTCTGGAACCCGACTACAAATGAGGTGACCTGGACCAAACCAGGGCAACCCATGATGATGCCACCTATGCCCGCGATGTTCCAGCCCCCAATGTTTTTTCAGCAGCAGTAGAAGCGTCTGCAAGAAGTGGACGCCGATAATGACCGAAGCCAGTTTCATGCCATGCTCCAGTGGCAGATGGCCTACAACGTGATGGGGGACTCTTGCTAGTTTCAGACGAGCTCCATAACTTGACTTGAGAAGTGTTGTGCCAACGAGCCCTCGTCTTGGAGGCTATCTACGACGGAGCTTGTGCATAGGCATGTCTGACAAAGGTTTCACTTGGAAGAAGTGCAGTGGTGATCGGGTTGGAATGCTTGAGTAGTCAGTACACGAATGGACATTCTACGGCGTTTCCTATGCGAACTACCTGCAGCTTGCTCAGCCCTGAGCCGGTCTTTCTCAGTTCGAGCTACAGAAAGTCAGAGGCTTGCGGCGAGGCCTGTAATATTCTTCTCAGCTCCATTGCGATCGGTTCAAAAAGCAGCAAGCGGACAAGAACTGCCTGCATCGTGAAGCAGTAGCCAACAAATTGAAACAGCAGGAGCTCGATCGTCAGACTGCGAGAGTATTCTGATTGGTCGACTTATTGTTCAAAAGCCATACTCATGATCACACGAGACTTGCCCATGCAGGCGGCTGCACGTGTGTAGGTGTATGTTTATCAAATCGAGGATAGCGAGATGGATAGGTGGATAGATACTGATACCTGGATCGACACATACATGCATAGGCAGATAGATTGGTAGGAATGTAGATAGACGGATAGGTAGATAGATGATAGGTAGATATAGCTAGATAGGCAGATGGGTACACATGCATGTATGGCATGTGAGAATCAAGCAGATACATGCATTTCTCGCTCTTCGGACTGTTCGGAATACGCGTAGCCCTGTGGCACGCATGGGAGAGATCAACTCTGGCCTGCCAGCGCGGAGCTCTTAAGCCGTCGGCCCAGATGCTGTTTTGTCTTTTCAGTTTCGGGTCGTGCCGGGTGCATTGAAGAGGTTTGCAGCTTCTCTATCACTCTATCACCGTGCTGCTTGACGTGCCATGTGCCAAGGGCTCCGGAGATTGGCCAGCCGTGGCTCAGGCTCGCCTGGCTTGTGCAAGGGGCCGCAGGCCGGGTCCTTTCAGAGACGCGTGCTTCAGACATGGTGCTTACAAGCTTGCATGACATCCAGGCTGGCGTTGCGCCAGTCCAAGGCCGGGCAGGGCAAGCGGCGTATGTTTGAAGACTTGCAGAGGGTATGGGTTTTGATCCAGAGATAGCAGAAGCTTGAGACGCCGGGTTTACAAGCCATCGAGAAGTGCCTCATTGCTGTAGTAACTGTATACTTGCATGAAGACTCGCCCGCTAGGCTAGTCTCCAATATTCACCAAAACATAGTGCCCAAACAGAGCGAAAACAAGTACTTGCACAGGGCGCAGGATGCTGCCATCAAGTTTGGAATCGACGTTGCCAAGGGGCTTGCTCTAGCAAATGAAGCAGCCCCATCGCAAAGTGGCAGGTGCACGCCGCTGGGGTCAGAGACATCAGTCAAATGAGCGCGCCGTGACCCTCTGCTGGGTGCGGCAAACTGAAGAGTGGAGTCGGTGCCACCACCATGAGGTACACCTGCGTGCCCCTCTTGCCCCACTTCGGCGCAGAGGCAAGAAGCCGAAGTGCAACGAGAATGGTCCGAATGGTGCTTGCAGAGAAGCAGGAATCAAAGTAAGCAAAGCTTCTCCCGAGGTTCGGGGCTTCTCTCTAGACGGTCATGAGCCGCTGCCGGCAGACCTCGTGCAGAGGAGCAGAATCTGCCCTGCATCCCATTCTCTCCCATAATCTTCTCATCTCTCATCCTGTGTGGATTTCTGGAAGGATCAAGGAGGACATGAAACTTCACCGAGTTTTGGTCTTCAAAGGCCAGGGCCGACTCAGTGGAGCAAGACAGGCCGCTCCGCCATGTGGCAAGATACTTCGGCGACGCTGCAGAATCGCTCTTTAGCTCTGAGGTGCAGATTTCGCAACAGCTGGGCACTGCTACTTCGCTCTGAAAAGCGAATTTTGGCTTATGTGCGATCGGACCTTGAACAGCTTGTGGTGCTGCGCTGCAAGCCGAGATTGAGAGCACTTTCTACAAGCATCCGCGGAGCCTGAATCCCAGCTGCGGCTCCGACACACCTTGCATGTGCTTCTGGAAGCTTCTCGCAGCCAGCCGAGGCCCACATCCAGACATCTTCCGTGTTTCAAACGACGATCCTGAGCACTTCCAACTTAACGACACCATGCACCTTTCCATGCGCGTTTTGAGTCTGGCACGGCGAAAGCCGAGGAACGGGAAGGTTGCTTAGGAGTGGGGCGTTGACCTCAGTCACACCTTCCATCTTCTGCATGCTGAGACTGCTAGCTTCTGCTGCAGGACATCGGGATGGCATTTGGATGGTACCTTTCAAACAAAGCGGCTGCCTGATCTCCAAAGCGTTTTGCGTGTTTCAACTCGAAGTCGAGAAAGGCCCTTCAAGTACCAGACCATGCACTTCCACAGCGTTTGTCAGGGTGGCGAGACTTGGCAGGATCCCGATCTGCATGAAATCTACATCTTGTGATGATGTCACTCACAATCGCGGCTTTGCAGCTTTCTGTTTCCGTTGAACTGAAGCGTGATGAGGTTCGTTCCGCTCAAAGAGTTCTATGAGATGCAGGATGATGAAACGAAAGCTCGCCCGCTTCCTTTGATACGATGGGTAATCACATTGCAAAAACACTGGAAGTACTTCGTCGATCGCAATATGCATTACAAGTGCGAGGCTGGGACAGATACTGGATGGTCACGCGGGAGGGCCTCGCCCATCCACTCGTTTATCGTCACCCGGTCAGGGAGGCCAGCAAAGTGGAGTGGATACTTTCACGCCATGGGCTTTCTGCTGCCAACTGCGTTGCAGGACACGACAATGATGTTCCACTGCGGCCCTCACTTCTGCCGTGCCTGGGGCGTGGTCGGCTACTTGGTTTTCTCGCACCCACGACTGTTTCTCCAACTCAGTCATGTGAAACGATGTGACTTACCACTGGCTGTTGCAGGATGGAGATGCATCAATGCCGGCAGAGAGGCCTGTGTACGGCACAATGGAATGGCTACAGCTGCGTAGAGCCGATCATGAAACCACAGGGCTGAGCAAAGTTGTCAGGCAACTGCGCAGTATGCTGCCGCCGAATGTGGTACAGGAGACTGCTTCCACACTGCAGTTACAGTTTTCATGGGTCCGTCAAGGGTGTCACGACAACAAAGCCTTCCGAAGGCCTTTCCTGAGGCATTTGGCCTCGGAGGAGGCTTGACTCGAGCGACGGTCAATGGCAGGGCCGCAAGTATGCTAAGCCTTCATGCTACCAAATGAATGCACAAGCCTTTACGGTTCAATGCAATGTACTGTTCAGGTTGTGGCAAAGTTGCTCGCCGCTCGAGTAAACCATAACCTCCAGACCTCCCACACTGCTTCAGTAGTGGTATCTTCGTTTTGTTTCGGGACGATCGGCCGTGAACCATGAACCCGCTCAAACGTTGGAGCAGTTGACAAATAGCACACCATCGCCAGAGGATAAATTTGTCTGTAATTCTCTGGGAACTTGCAGAGGAGGAGTTGGGTGAACGGCTGGATATCGCCGTCGAGAAGATTGGTATCAAGATGTGTTGGGAGGCAGGTGGAGCAAGCACTAATCAGCACTAATTAACATGACTTCAATCTGTTCCATTTGCTGAGCAGGAGGGGGACTTTGCCATCAACGACAACCTTGGCAATTGCCACGCCCCGAGCCACTTGATGGGACCCACAGGCAGCCTGCCGTTGTAACCCCGGCCACGCGCAGGCCACTATGCAGCCCCTGGCACGCAGAACCCGAAGAGCAAAGCCGGCCTGAGGCCATGCTCTGACGGTTTTCCACTGGCACGGCAAGAATAAATGGGGCAAGACACAAATTCGAGTCTACCGCGTTCAAAATGATACCAGAAGGGTTGCTGCAGCAAATCACGAGGCCGGAGAATTGAAAGGATGCTTGTTGCGGCGGGATGATAGAGTGTCATGATCACAGGTGCCGAAACCCGAAAAGAACATGTCCAACTGGCAGCTTTAGCAGTCGTGCAGTAGGGCTACGTTGCAGTGCGTTTAGAACAGAGGGTTCTTCGTGTGAAACTCGCACATGCAGTGTATTTACAGTTGCGACTAACGACTGAAGAAACCGGAGCTCTAGCATGCGGACCAATGCGAGCCGCAGTCATTGCGAGAGCTGCAGCATCTGCATGTGCGTGAGCTTGCCGACAGGATCTTGCACCGGACAACGATCGCAGGCGAAGATGTTCCTTCAAAAGAAGACGGGCGTCGATCATTCTACTGTCAGCATCCGCCGTAGAAAAAGCTGCGGTTGGAGACTGCCTGCAATCAAAGTCTGCGTTGTCAAGCGTGTCCACACGCTAATGGACGTTCTTCCAACGCATCTTGCAGCTTTTCGGCTTCTGTAAGCCTGCAAGAGAAGCTCAGGGATCATTTTGAACGACCCCGAGGTGTTGGACGAAACCTGCGGTGTGTTGCATCTGCCCTTTCAGCTGCATTGTGCACCCATGTCGGCAGGCATCATGCGGGCTGAAGAACGGGATGTCACGGTGGCGGCGTACACGCCCATGGACATGGACTTGAAGTCCGCAAACATTGAGCTACGTCGAGGCTTTGTGCAGAAGGTGTATCTTGCAGGCATCCATTGTTGAATGTTGGCTGTAAGCAGCTTCTTCCTAAGCCTTGCCTTGAGCTTGTCGGATATTTGCAGCACGCCTGGCCCGAATGCAGCTGGTCAATTGTTCAAGATGCTGCTTTCAAGTCACGACGGCTAGGCGGAAGGGCTTGTTTGTTTCATAAATCTGGCACCACCTCATATGCGGCGACGGTAGGCAGGGAGAGAATGCACATGTCCTCCAGAATGCAGTGTAGAACGCCAAAATAGACTGCGTGTTGTTGGGTCCCGCCCATGCAGCCTCGCTGTGGGGTCTCCGACTGGGCCTGGTGCTGGCAGTTCGTTCTGCTGGCGCCATAGATGCTTGAATGGACCCCAGCCACTTCGAGGCGAAGAGCTTCACTGTGGACCACTCTGCAGCTTATCTGTGGAAGGTGAACATTGACAAATAAATGAATGAATGGAATGGAATGGAATGGAATGGAATGGAATGGAATGGATTGTATGGATGAATGAATGATTGAATGAACGAATGAATGATGGGTTCTCACCGGGGTACAAGCTAGTAGTAGTAGTAGTAGTAGTAGTAGTAGTAGTAGTAGTAGTAGTAGTAGCAGTCGTAGCAGTAGTAGTCGTCGACGTGGTAGAAGTAGTAGTAGTAGTAGTAGTAGTAGTAGTAGTAGTAGTAGTAGTAGTGTTAGTAGTAGTAGTAGTCGTCGTCGTCGTCGTGGTAGTAGTAGTAGTAGTAGTAGTAGTAGTAGTAGTAGTAGTAGCAGCACTAGTAGTAGTCGTAGCAGTAGCAGTAGCAGTAGCAGTAGCAGTAGCAGTAGCAGTAGCAGTAGCAGTAGCAGTAGCAGTAGCAGTAGCAGTAGCAGTAGCAATAGCAGTAGCAGTAGCAGTAGGAGTAGTAGTAGTAGTAGTAGTAGAAGTAGTAGTAGTAGTAGTAGCAGCCGCAGCAGGAGTCGTAGTAGTAGTAGTAGTAGTAGTAGTAGTAGTAGCAGTAGCAGTAGTAGTA